GGTCTCTCTTATCAGTTTCCAGGCAGAAATGCCCTGTTAGGTGTATTCTATACATACACAAAGTAATGTATAACAATGTAAACACCTCTGGTGTCTACATACATCTCTTTTCAGAACTATTTAGCTTCTATATTTATAGTTCCCTCTTTTTCTTAAAGCTGGCAAAATGTTTGCCATTCCAGTCACTCATCACACAGTGCGAGCTGTAAAGCCAACCAAACACAGAGAGTTCCCACAGAGAGTGAGAGGACTGTAAAAGCCTCGGTATGAGTCAGAGGAAGTACCTGCCTGGTCAGCACTGGATATGGGGAGCTACAGTCAACAACTTTCTGAAACCGACAGTCTAGTAGTCATTACTACTATGTGTGTGGAAGTGAGAAAGAGTGCCAGTTTGAAACTTTATCAGTTTTCACATAACAGCTTCTACAACACTGTGAGTGCCTTCACAGAAAGCTTGTCCACAGATCTTGGATATTATAAACTGTTGTATGAGACTCCATGTTGTACAGAGTGCATTTGTGGCATACTGAGGCCTTGGGGGAGTTTCTGTTTGTACAAACTAATGGTATCTGGGAAATTTTTAGTTACCTACTTATATTCCCTGATTGTGATCAAAAGTTTTGGAAAAACCAAAGATCTTTAAAGTGAAGCCATGCCCCGAGTTTGTCACCTTGAAACTATTTCGCTTACACTATGCTTTTGTTAGCTAGTATGACGAGAGCAACAATACCATTTATTGCACTTTCCATGAGTAAATACTCAACATCTTTTCTGAGTACATGACTCAAAGGTCTGCTGGTGTTACAGGAAGATATATGGACATACACACTTTTTTAAGTAATAAAAGTGAAATATTACTCACTAGTTCAAAGAATCAAAACAATCATCAGCTCCAAATTAGCTTTTCTTTGTCAGAAGTGACATATGGCTGTAAGTGTACTTAATTTCCTGAGAGACAAACTACTTCTCAGAGGCCACTGGCTTTTTCCATTTTCTCAAAAGCAAAGTGAAAATATTTATAAATCAGTATGCTTTCCATCTTATTCTATGTGGCATACTCATATAAAACCATAGATATCTTTATCACCCCACACCATCTTTTCTGAGTACACGACTCAAAGGTTTGCTGGTATTACAGGAAGATATGTGGACTCGCACACTTTAAGTAATAAAAGTCAAATATTACTCACTACTTCAAAGAATCAAAATAATTATCAGCCCCAAATTAGCTTTTCTTTGGCAGAAGTGAAGTATGGTTAAAACTAAGTGTATTTAATTTCCTGAGAGACAAACTAATTGTATGACTCATAGATACCTCACTTCTTTCTAAAGACTTTTTAAGGTCGCAAAGTTACAGTTTGATTTTCTGAATAAACTACAAAGGTTTCATACCACAGTAAGAGCCCTCTATAGACAGCAGCATAAACTAAGATTAAAAATGAATGTGAAGAAAGCTATCACAGAAAATGAGAGCATTAAAGGTCCCATTTTGTACCAGTTTAGCACATGTTCATATTGGTCTTACATGTCCCCCAGACAGTATATTTTGGGTTTCAGCCCCAAATACCACACAGTTCATTTTTTTGTTTCATGTCGGTATTCTCCTGGTTTGCAGCTCAGTATCGAATGAGCTATTTCATTTTCTGTAGCTTTAAATTGAAAAGGAAGAACAGTTGCCCATACTTTACACTTTGAGTTTGTTTGCTGAAGTTTAAACTGAGCATCCACTGGGAAAGAAAGTGTGACTTAAGTGGGTTTGCTTTTAACGTGGCATGGTTGCTGGTTCCAGAAAGACTGGTCTGAATATTTCAGCACCTCTGAATGCACAACGCACAACCTTGAAGCAGATGGGCTACAGCCGCGGAAGACCACACCAGGTACCATTGCTTTAAGCTAAGAACAGCAAACTGAGGCTACAAATGACACAGGCTCACAAAAACTAGACAAAAGACTAAACACAAGACTAAACTAGACTAGAGGAGGAAAATGTTGCATGTTCTTATGAATCTTGATGAAAACAACAGGAACCTCATCATCTGGCACCAATAAACATAGATCTACTAGATGTACACACAGCTATGACTATACATTATACGCCAATTCAACAAAAGGCTTACCTGCTTCAAACATAAAACCATAACCAATCAATGGTCTCAACCTGATCTCAATTTCCTGTAGATTTCGGTGCCACTGGTTTACTTTGAGCAACTCCCAGCATCATATACTAACAAGAGAAACCTAAGTTTACCTACCTTGTCTTCGGTGACATGCTAGGCTCGAGGCAACTTTAAACGCAAACTCGAGAGCGGGCAGCAGACAAGAGATGTGGGGCAGCACAGCCACCCTGCTGAAACGTACTAAAGAGAGTTAGCTCAATCACAGTAAACACCTTAACCATCACTCACCCACTAAAAAAACCCTCTGATGTTTAGTCTCCACAAAAAAATCCAAAATAGAGTCCAAAATATCCCGGACGAGCCCCCATTTATTTTATGACCCGGCTCAAAAGCCAAACAGTTGGTACCATGAAGATCATAAAACCAAAACTGGTGTGCCTCCACAGCCTGCCTCAAGCATGCCTTTATCCACATGCCATGTGTGGTCAATTGGCAATTGAAGACTCAATTGACAACTCTTTGCACTGCCACTGCAAAGAGAATAGAGGTTGCAGAGGGGCGTAACAATGGCAGGAGTGATAATAATAATAATAAGTGAAATAATCTAATACATCTATGAAATGACAAATCTTACTCTTTTGGCTGCTCTTTTTAAGGGGACACCTCAGCAGATCATCTATCTCTCACTGTCATCATCTTGCCCTGTCTCTAGCATCCTGGTCTGTCACACAAACACTCTGCAACACTCTGTCTCAAAACTGCCCAACCTGAGCTGTCCCTCTGATTTACTCATTTTTTTTCTGTCCATTTTGGTCCGTCCCAGTGAAGATCTTAGCATCTTTACTTGTGTGAACTCCAGCTCCTCCTCCTGTCTTTTTGTCTTTTACTCTTGCTGCTGTCATTCTGTCACAAGCCACCTGGGCACTCATTTCCATCCACTGCACTCTCTTCTTCACCTCTTTTGCATGCTGCCCATTTCTTTGGATGGTTGACCCCATTAAATCTACTCATTGGATGTATAAAATAACAAACATTCACACTTAAGAATCAAGTGACGCACTAAAGCAAAAAAAAAAAAAAAAGACACATCATTTCAGTCCTGCCTTTGGCGATGTATGCATTTAATGGATTACATAGAAAAAAACAGCATTCTTTGAAAAATATCTGGACATGAATACCAAAGATATCCATATATGTTTATATTTCTATAAGATATTTGTATTTACATGTTTGAACTAACACAACAACTAAATCAATCAATGAAAAAATAATGCTGCATTTTATTTATCCTCAAAAAAACACATTTGCACAGAAATGTGCACATTAATTTGTGTTACACATAAAAAGAAATAATACCCTTTTCCTAATTAAATATAGCAGGCTCAAAACATTTCTACAAAAAATCTTCATAAGGTAATGTTAAACTATTTAAACTATGTTAAACTAGTCCTGGGACATACTTATTTTGATATGACAGAAAAATGATAAGAGACCTCTTAATCAACAACATAATTAAATTAATGTGATAGAATACTTTTCAGCGAGTTTTGTCAATGATAAATCTTTCAAATGACTTAGGTTTAATTAATCCTGATGTTATATAGAGAGATCCGTAAAGAGGTCCCCATTTATATAACTTGTTGCAGAAATAATGAAATATGAAAAAATATGTACAAAATCAAAACTCTGAGATGAAGACAAATCAAATACACAATACTCAGTGAAGAAAATTGGAAGGAAATGTTCCTTCAACACTTCAGAGGTAAAATTTTGAGGTATGAGTGTTCATATAGCCACTGATATTGTTTGCACTGTGATATGTAAACAACCTTGTCTAACACAATCATACATGCTGTATAAGGGTTCAGTACTACAACAATTAAGAGGTCAAAATACGAAAAAAAAAATGTAATACTAAATAAAATATGTACAACAGAAGTTTGCGAGATGATGTTAACACAATAAATTGGCACTTTTTTTTACAATGTGTCTTTGGTGACATTTGAAGCTGCCTGGAAGTAAGCAGCAAACACTTGCCTATGTTGGTTAAGTTTCATCAACCATTACATATTTCCAGCTATTTTAGGATTTCACTACTACCGGCCTTTTAATCGACCTCACATTCCCAAAAATATCCTTTTGATCTGAGAAAGTCATGAAAAACACATTTCACTCTTTAAATTATCCAGTACAGTTTTTACAGAAATGTTTAACACATGGTAGAATTTACAGTGTCCATGTAATCCTGTAAAAAACTGAATATATGTTGCAGTGATTGTTACACTGATAACCTTTCCCCCCCAAGAGGCCAAATAAACTTAAGAAGCATTAGTATTTAGAGGTATTTCCAAACACTAAAATTCTCTAGAATTGTTTTAATGCTGTTAAAAACTGCATTAAAACAACATTAACATAAAATAGAACATTTGCATTGGTGGAGATCTATATGAGCCTTCTCTTAGATTTAGATTAAGAAACTGCAGCCATCTCAATACAATACATACAGGATATTATACAAAACATATGATTCACAAAGTTCAAAATCGAGAATTAACAGATTACAATAAAAAGCAAAACATGCAGTATAGAAATTTCCTATTTATAGTTTCAGGTGGGGCTACAACGGCAGACTTGAAGTGAAGTTGAGAGTTATTGAAATAACTGCTGACTAATCAAAAAAATAAAATTTGCAGATTCGTCAACTACTAAAATGTAGGTCTGCAACAATTTTGGTGTAGCTCATGTTTCAAGGTCTCTAATCACATCTGATAGTGAGAACATATAGCTGATACTCAACTGAAGTTCTTCACAACATCATTTGATTCATAAACTTGTATGTGGTGATTATGCAGAGGTATATTTTTGTGGATATACACTTTTTTCCAATACACAGCTTTTCCTCTATAATGTAATTGGTATTACTGATCAGACGATACACTACTTTATCTATTGATTATCAGTTAACTGTAATGATTTCTCCTGGTTGACAGTGTAATTGTTTTGCTGTTGATGGCTGGTTCCTAAAACACATTTCTAAATATAATCTCTTAAAGCTGAAATACTTTACTAATTTGGGTCATAATCATATACTATACTGATTACATGCTATCAAGTCCTCTTTTGAAGAATCTGGTGCTAATTTTCCAAATTGTTCTTCTAATTTCAAAAAATTGATCAAATGCCACTACTTGATAATGTAACTTATTTTCAATGTGGAAAGATTCATCTTGGTGAAGATGCCTCTTTGTCTGTCTTGCCTTCATAGTTACCCTACATGATGCTGTCTCCTTGCACCACAGGGTAGCAAGTGAAGAACTATTTTTAAATCATCTTTCAAGATCTACAAAGTAATGTGTGTTGGAAAATAGAATTATTGTGTTCCCAGTGTACCTTTTAACAAAATGCCTCTAAACAGCTTTTACACTAATCATGCTAGAGTAAAAATAAGACTGCAACCTCATTGCAACTAGAAAGGAATGGTAATTACCTGGTGATCACACAGATTTTTTTTTTTTACTGTTGAAAACCAATTGCAAGTACTTGTGGTAACTAAGTGGCTGCTCAGAGGTTCAGCACTCAACCTCTCGGTGCTTGCAGTTTGCCTGGTGGGAGGAAATCTGTCACTAAACAGCCATTGTCGGACTCTAACTGCTATTACTCTCACGGATTGCAGAAGGTTTGCAAATAATTGTCATCTGATTTATAAATGCAGACACACTGACAACATATCATAATCAGTTTGAGTCAGTCTGCACTGATAAGACACAAATCAGTTTCTTTGCAAAAGAGGACTAAACCCAACTGGTTCTATTCTCGTTATGTTCCTATATAACAGCAAGGTTGACAAGCACCTATGTCATTTTGCAATTAAATTGCAGCAGCTACATCACAATTTCTGTTTCAAATCTACGAGCTTCTGGCTTGACTCTGAATGTAAGTAGTTTGTGTAAAAACCTGTTTAATGTAGACAGCAACAGATTTATCACAGTTAATTACCATATTCTCGCAGACAAATTGCATGTAATTGCCAGCTTGACCTCCTCCAACCTGATAGCAAACTGACTCCATCTTATTGCCATTTACGGCTATTGGCTGCAAGTGGTTGCAGACCTGGTGCGTGTCTCTGAAGCAACAAATTCAAACTTGAACTTATTCACGCGTTCGTTGTACACAGTTGCAGTAATCTTGGTCATTCTGCATTCTGCAGTCATTGTTTTCCCGTGTGTGATTGTAGCACAAAGACAAATTTGTGTTATGCTGGTTCCTTCTTATGTATTATAACATACATACTTTTGAACATACATACAGTTTTTGATAGGTAGCTGAGAGCAAGTTCACAAGTAGTTCACTTATGCAGGCTTGTCTCTCTGTTTTATATTCACTGCAGTGATGGTTGCGTCTTATTTCTGCGTCAGGACATGACTGATAAACCTCTTCTGATCTGTGGATAATGATGGTGAAAGCTTCTTTGGATTCCACTCTCTGAATGAAGGTGAGCAGTAGAGTGATGTGGAGAAAAACCTGCGGGGGTGAATGAAATGGAAAATGTTCAGGGATGACAAACACTCTGAGGGTGTTTATGTTTGTTATCTGTAATAAAATGTAATATGTATAAGAAATTAAGGGCAGACTAATGATCAGTCTCACCTCTCTGCGATGCTACCCTGACACCCAGTTGTGTGTGGTCGTCTTCACCCTCTGGGAAAACCCATGAGGCCCAGCTGCTGGATCAAAATTAAAGTCCAGCCCCCCACCATCCATGAGTGTGTCATGGAGGACGGACTCCAAGTCACATTCAAACCTTTCAGTAGGCACACTGTCCAGATCACTGGGTAGGTGCTCTTGATGATGATGACTGTGTGGGTGTACAGAGTTGAGTTCTCTGTAGCTGTTGCTGCTGCCGTAGGTCACTGAGGCATCATTAGTGTGTGGAGGGAGTCCGAGGGGGAGCTGCATGCACGTCCTTGGACCAGCCATTCGAAGAGAGGGCCCTGAATGGCTAGTCAGGCGTATCATGTTACAGCTATTCAAGTCTTGTGAGGCAGCTGGACCCTGGCTATGCAGAGTATGTGGATTTACACGAGGAAGTGGGTGACTCTGAGAGGGATTCATCATTTTTACTCCATTATGACCACCCACATGGCTTTGGCTGCTATAAGTAGGTATTGGACAACTTGCCCTCCCAACTTCAGAGTGCATCATGTCCCTTCTGGTGTCTGGTTCTCCTGTCAGCAGCCCAGAAGGGAAGATATACTGGTTCTCGTAAGCCCCAAAGCTGGGCTTAGTCTCTGGAAGTGTCTGCATAGGAGCAGGGGACAGGGAGTGCATTCTCACCTGACTATACAAGCACTTCTGGTAGTCTTGCTGCTGGTGTGGGGTCAGTCCAGTGGAGTTATAGGGGCTACTCTGAAGCATGCCGGCGTTTGAGGAGCGCGGGGAGTGTGAGGAGTCAGAGCTGAGCTGGGAGGGTTTAGGAGACAGCAAGTTAAGGTTATCCAGCAGATCCATGACCTTTTCTGAGCGATGCTGGCCCATGGATCCAGACACCTCAGACAGGCTGGGCAGGGTAGAGGTTATCTTAGCACCAGCAACTCCAGGATACATTATGTGGCCATCGGACTCGCCCACATCATCCTGTTCAGAAGGGAAAGGTGAACGGCGACCACTCAGAGTACTGGCATCAGAGCTGGTACGCGTCCTAAAGGTTTTCCAGGTGTCAAAATCTTCGTTGCTGTGGGAGTTTGGACTTCCAAGCCAGGTAGAGTACTGGGAACTGGGGCTGCCTGCTCCTCCTTCAAGCCCTTCCTGTAGAGCCATCTAGAGATAGTAGAACACAAGAACACTGAGTACATGTAATCTAGATTCAACAGAATTTAAAAAAACAAACATTTGGCTGAAATATCTATGAAGGTTCAGTTCAGGAGCAGAGACCTTTTTCTTTGCGGCTCTTCCTCTACTCTTGACAAACTTATTGCTGTTGTCCATGGAGGTAGCTCTGCGTCGAGGTGACTTTCCATTCTTTCCTCCCTCTGGGTTCAGCATCCACCAGGAGCTTTTTCCTGTTCCCTCGTTCTGTATGCGCACAAAGCGACTGTGCAGGGACAGGTTGTGTCTGATGGAGTTCTGAATGGGAGAAAAGTGATTCATTTGTAAGTTTTCCCTCACACAAATATCATGGTCAGTTTAACAAATCAGTGCCTGTCACTGAATATGACACTGAACAAAATAAAGTATCGTCAGCAACATAACTTAAGAGACTCTTTTCTCCAGAAATACAGGACCTATTCAATGAAAGAGGGAAGCGGTGATCAATGTTGGACACAAGTGTGACAAAGATAGATGACAATTCATATTACACTATAGTATAATAGTGCAAAATTTGACCAAAGCAACATTTCTCGTTAGTTTCTTCACTCGGTCTGCTTTTTTTTTTTTTCCTTACATTTTTCCTGTTTTCTGAATACATTCTGACTTTTACGTTGTATTCATCAGTTTTTCTCATGCTTTAACTGCTTGTATTGTTTTGAAGGCCCACGAGAGAGCTTACTAGGGTGTCCATCTCTCCTCACTGCGGACTATAATCATGTTTCCTGTGATTTCCACTGACTTTAATCAGCGCAGCCCAGCAGCAGCAACAACAACACCGTTCGCTTTGGATCCAAAGTGAAAAACAACAGTGAAAAAACAAGGAGAAAAACAACAACAAAAAACAGGGTAATTTGGAAGACACGTTACAGAAAAAAACCATCACTGCTTAATCTTGCCTGTGCCCATCATCGAAAATTACACCTCTGAAAGAGCTCATTGAGATCACTGAGCTGCTCTCTTTTTTTGTATGTGGTCAAATTTGTCCTCGTCCAAATATGCACACACCTAAAGCCTTATTCAGTAGATTTTTAATGCCATGTTATGTATCCCAAAAAGGATGCAGTAGACTCCTCCTGTGGTAATGCTCTCAGGAAGAAAACCAGTGTCGGTCGGGAGGTCATGAAGACAGTTAGACATGGCACAGACACACTGTACAGACTGGTCTTTCTGTGACACTAATATGCAACTTGCTGAGCTTGATGGGGGGGACAATGAAAGACTAAAGTGTAACACAATACGTGCAAGTATGGAATTTCCCCCTAAACACCCATGTGAATAAGAAAGCAGCTCCCTGCAGTTAGTAAACCCAGATGTTCCCAACCGCAGGATTCAGCAGGGATATACAAAGCACTGAGATAAAGATGTTCTCATCCAAAACAATAGATGGATTGTCTCAGTGTGTCTCTGACATTTTGGGGTTAAAGTTAAGCTTCTGGCAGGAATATGACTTCTAATCTATAAAACTACTCTCAGTGAAAGTATTATTTCAAAGTGGAAATTATCAAAGTAGATTCAAGGAATAAAACCAGAAAAAACTGCAAAATTGGAACAACTTTGACGCTTTTCAAGTATTCTTTTTTGTGCCGTCGTCATAAGAAGGTGCTGAAAGATGAGTTCAACCTCAAACTGTAAACTGACAGAGTGAAAACAGAGAGCGGTACACAAGTTAGATTTTGTTTTGTTTTGTTAAACAGAAACTAAGAGGAGGTCACAGAGTTCGAAGCTAAGTTGGGGAGGGCGACACTGTAGGATGTTATTGCCGGCAGAGCCGGGGTCAATGAGTTCACTGTGTGCTAAACACGAGCTGCTCATACGAGCTGACGGGGACATGCAAACAGGTTGGATGGCAAAGGAAGAGCGAGAAGGAGAATCATCAGATGTGACACGCTGGGTAAGACCCGCTTCGTGAGACTCACCAAAACAGCTTCTTTGGACTGCACCCCACCACCAAAACCAGACTCCTCCCTTCTCCTCCAGTGACTTTTAAATGAGGCTTCCTGTGTCAGAGGACATCCTGCACATGTAGACTGAAGAGACCTGAGGTTGTATGGTTTCAAAATGCAATTCAATCATTGCATTTTATGCTCATTTGATTTACGACCCTTTTCTCCCCATTTTCCTTTTTTTAAATGATCTCCTGTAACTGAAGACAGGACCGGACATCTTAGCAGTGTGCTGCACAGACTCAAGCCTGCAAACCAACATTTATTTCACTAACCAAATGTGAAGTCTCGCTCACGCATGGCAGAGATCACTGTTGATATGCAAATCTCTACAGCCTTTGATTAGCACCTACTACAGATCGTGCACTGCAAGGCAGTGCTGTGGAAAGGGAAATTTTCTTCTCTGCCTTATCTTTGACAAACCTCAACTCAACTCAAAGACAACAAAAATTCCCCTTCCTTTTTAGTTCAGGAGGTGCCCCACTCAATCATTATTTCAAAGAAATAATGATTTCAAAGAAATAATGATTGAGGTCCAGTCTTTTTTTTTTTCTGTTGCATTACGGCATATTTTGTAGTAGTAAAATGTGTGCTTTTGTGGTTGCAAAACATTTCATGAGAAATCTATTTTTTCCTCCGCTGACCTGCTTTGGCAACCAGGGTAGTGACGAGGTCCAGATTAAAGAGAAACTTAAGTGACATAAATGTTTAAGAGCAAAGATCCTCTTAGAGAAGTGATGCCACACAAGTCTGCAGAAGAGTATTACAAAGAAATCTGCAACATTTTCTGCTCTACACTTGAGGACATTTAGTAGTGCTGCCCCTGAAACAAACCGGTGCAGCATGGAAGAGACATTAGACAGCTTATGCAAGAAATCCTGAAATCAGGAAGGACTGAGTTGGGACAAAATCTACTTTCAGTTCGTCCTCAGAAATGGGTCATTAGGCTTCCCACATGAAAGGAGATGACAGCCCCTGCCACAGCTCAGGTGAGATACCCGGTAGAACACCTGAGCTGGAGTAAGGAGAGTCATCCATCACCATCATCCATAATGCAGCATGAAATGACTCCTCCTACTGGACTTCAAAACAATCTAATTGACGCAGCTGCTGTTTCTTGTGTAGTGAAGCATGAGGCTTGCAGTAACGGTCGCAGGGTAAGTAAACAAACAGGGCTCGGTTGCAAGAACAGGTGCGGCCTCAGTGAAAGTGGCCTCAGTTGCAATCGGTCTATGCATTTTACATACAGGGCCAGCTACAACCACAGACAGGACAGAGGATCTCCCAGGAGGCTGACTGCTGGAAACCAGCTGCTTCTCAAATCAGTAACTTGGTTTTTATCTCAATGATGAAAGCTTACATGTAGTTAGTGATGGGGAGGGGGGCAGGGAGAATGACCTTGTCTTCCCATCAGTAAATTTCCCAGGCAGGAAAACGTGAGAAAATATAAATATAATTTTTTTCTTTGAAGGCTTTAGAAGTTAAAGTGTACTGTGACTTTTGATGCTAAATGTTAGCTTAGGTTTTCAACCTTTAGATATTGCAACCCTGTAGATAAGCATTTGTGTTTGTATTTGTGCCACTGCTATATTTTTTCATTATCTTTTACAGTTAGCAGCAAAACCTATAAATGGAAAATAGTGCAGTTTTTTGCTAATCGCTGACAGTTATTCAGTCCTTCTCATTGGATTGCTTGATTTCCCAGTAAGAGAGCCAAGAGGTACTGTCCTAATCTTTGCTAACATTCGCTAACGCTAGCCACGATAAGCTGCAAAAATGCCCGGGTAAATAATGGTGCAATTTGTTGCTCACAAATTCAACTGTTTTTATATATTCAACCAAATATAAATGCTGTTAGTCACACCTGTTCAACTGCTCATTAATGCGACTGACTAAGCAGCTAATCAAATGGCCACAACTCAATGCATGTGATGTCGATATGGTCAAGATGACCAGCTGAGTTTAAACTGAGCATGGGGAAGAAAGCTGATTTAAGTGATTTAGTAAAATTGTATGTACGAGACAGGTTGGTCGAAGTGATTCATAAAATGCTGTTCTGCTGGGATTTTCCCACACAACCATTTCTTGGGTTTACAGAGAATGGTCAGAGAAAGAGAAAATATTCACTGAGCAGCAGAAAAAAGGCCAGCTTGCTTTGATCTGATCGAAAGGGAATAGTAGCTCCAATGATTTTTCGCTACAATCAAGGTATGCAGAACAGCATCTCTAAATGGACAACAGTGAACCTTGAAGAAGACAGGCTATAGCAGCAGAAGACCACATCAGGAACCACTCCTTTCAGCTAAGAACAGGAGTCTGAAGCTATAGTTGTTATAGAGTAGTTATAGAGGTTGAGCAAAATTGAACAACAGAAGATTGAAAAAACATTGCCTGGTCTGATGTGTCTCAGTTTTTGGATGGTTTGGTCAGAATTTAAGATAAACAACATTAAAACGTGGATTCAGTTGACTTCAGCCTGCTGGTGGTGGTATTTTTTGGAACACCTGAATATTGTTGAATATTTCCGTCACCTTATGACCACAGTGCACCCATCTACTGATGGTTATTCCAGCAGAAATACTTGGTTATACCAGCAGAAGCTCAGCTGTTCTCAGATAACCTACACACTACAAGATCGCAATCCACTGGAGCACCTTTGAATTGTGGTAAGATGGGAGTGTCGCATTATGGATGTGCAGCAATTGTGTGATGCTGACATGTCAATATGAACCAAAATCTCTAAAGAAATGTTTTCAACAGCTTGTTAAATCTATTCTATAAAAAGCTTGAAAGCAAAAGGGAGGGGATCAGCATAAGGTGTACCTCGTGTTTTTGTCTTTTTAAGGCATACATTTCAACATTTTACTGACCTCAGTGATAGATTCCACTGCACTCAAACAAAGTGCTTGTGCTGTGTCTGCCAAAAGGTTTTCAAACAAAGTTGTAGAGAATGAGGAAACTGGAAGAACAATTGTCTATTAATCAAGATCACATTAGCAGGGAAATTAGGAAGTGTGCTAATCTATGTAGCTGCCAGTGACTACAAAGAGCTCAGCAAAGCCATTTTACTGCTGTCAAACTTAATTTCAAAGCAGGATTTTAGGTAATACAGGCTAAAAGGGTAAGTTACTGGAAAATGTATTTGATACTGCTTGAATTCATGAGCATGGCCAACGCCCTGCTTCTTTAATTTACATTAAAATCCAGACTTGACTAAATCGGAGTGATTTTCTGCTAACATGTAACTACCACTACAAAGCAGTTAGTTATCTGGTAGAAATAAGAGAATAGGAAAAACGAGCACTTGCAGAG